CAGCTTTGCATGCGTCTGCGATTTGTACACTTTATGTTTCGTCTTTAATCCGAATTGCCACCAAGGATTTGGTAAACGTACTTGTCAAACTGCATTATTTCTGTCTTCATTCTACAAATTTCAAGTAAAGGTGCGGAATAACATCCTAGCGAGCATCAGATAGAAATCACTAAATTTATTTCACAATTAATCGACATGACACAGCAGATGCGAAGGCACATCTCTACACGGTTGCACTCGTTGTTCGAACATGAATAATGTAGCTTTCCGGGAATGTGCTATTTTTGTCTGCACTGCTGTATGAATATATAATTATTCTGTGACTAGGTATTAGTTGCTTGAAGGTTTCACAAAACTGTAACATGGTGTTGAGTAAAGTGAAATATATCTTCGGTAGACGCTGCAAACTTTTTTTCTGTCAGAACACTACTGTAGTGCCTTCAGCTTTGCATGCGTCGGCGATTTGTACACTGTGTTTTGTTTTGAGCTCCAAATTGCCTCCAGGATTCAGTGAACATACTTTACGGCAAACTGCATTACTTCTTTCTTCATACTACAAATTTCAAGTCAGGGTGTGGAATAACATCCTAGCGAGCATTAGATAGAAATCACTAAATTCATTTTAGAATTAATCGACATCACGCAGCAGATGTGAAGGTACAAAATCTCTACACGGTTTACACTCGTTGATCGAACATAAATAGTAAGGCTTTCCGGGAATGCGCTCTTTTTATCATGCACGCGTATTTCTGGTAAGGACTTTGACGAACTGAACATAGTTTGATCATCGAATGTTTGAGACATGTGGATCGAGTACAATCCGCATTCTGTTTCTTGGATAATCTTCGTTTAAAATGTACCTTGAACATTATTACAACAAGAGCAGTACATAAATCCTTTGTAGCGATCATCTTATGAGCGCCTCTTGATTAAGATCGGAGCGTCGAGGTAAGACTACGTGTCTTCCATGAGAACGAGTTTAATTAATGCATACCTTCGTCTTCTTTAAAACTGCAAGCTTCTTTGTTCTTAAGATTTTGAAAGTTTCTCCTCTTAAAGTTTGTTCCTGTTCGTCGCGGTGCGATTGACAAGTCGATTGAACAGTAAAACTAAATTACAGTGAAACTCTATCTCTCATCTATTTTGATGGATTCTTAGAAAAGGTTTCCTCAAAATGAGAGTGCAGCGTACCTTTGCACTCAAGATTTCTTAAAACTCTAAGCGTCTTTATTAGACTTAAGAATCTCCTTGTAAAAGATACCTTCGGAAGACGCTGCCGAATTTTTCGTCTCTCAGAAGACTGCTGTAGTACCGTCAACTTTGCATGCGTCGGCGATTTGTACACAATGTGTTTTGTGTAGACCTCTGAATCGCTTCCAAGAATTCAGCAAACATACTTAACGAACTACATTATTTCATTCCACAAATTTCAAGTCAAGGCACGAAATAACATCTTAGCGAGCATTAGATAGAGATCACTAAATTTATTTCAGAATTAATCGACATCACACTGCAGATACGAAGGTACAAAGTCTCTACACGGTTTTGCACTCATTGATCGAACATAAATAATAAAGCTTTCCGTGAATGTGCTCTTTTTGTCTGCACTGCTGTATGAATACACAATCAGTCTGTGTCATTCAGGTGTTAGTTGCTTGAAGGTTTCACAAAACTGTAACATGGTGACGTGTTTAGTTCGTTGAAAATCTCTTATAACCTCTCCTAGCTACCGACAAGAAGAGAACCTAGCAACATACAAAATCCGCGGCGCGGAACTTCCCTCGCCAAATTAAAATCTTTGCACTTTTCAAACGTGGAACTAATACGGCATTCATAAGGAAAACAAGAACAAAGTGTACCTGATCGACTAGCTTGTTAACTGTGTACTCGTAATCCTTCAGTTTCTTAGGATTGAAACTTTTAGTATCCTTTTCTGAACACTTCTTGAACCGAATAACACGCCAACGCCCACGGAATGCTGGAACAGATCGAATTATTTTAGTTTACCCAGTGGGGAGTTAGGAATACTTCTTCGGTCAGCTGGCTTCATTGTTCGGCATGTTTTGTTCTCAAGATTTCTTAGAATTCTAAGCGTCTTTATTAGACTTTAGAGTCTCCCTGTAAAATATATCTTTGGTAGACGCCTCTTTTTCTTCTCTTATGAGATTGCTGTAGTACCGTCAGCTTTGCATGCGTCGGCGATTTGTACACTGTATGCTTCATCTTTAATCCGAATTGCCACCAAGGATTCAGCAAACGTACTTGTCAACTGCGTTATTTCTGTCTTCATGCTACAAATTTCAAGTCAAGGTGCGGAATAACATCCCAGTGAGCATCAGATAGAAATCACTAAAAATTATTTCAAAATTAATCCGCACCACACAACAGATGCGAAGGTATAACATCTCTACAAGGTTTGCACTCATTGTTCGAATATGAAAAACATAGCTTTCTGGAAATGCGCTATTTTTTGTCTTCACTGCTGTACGAACATGTGTAACATGGTGACGGGCAAAGTGAAATATATCTTCGGTAGACGCTGCAAACTTTTTTTCTGTCAGAAGACTGATGTAGTTATTTCAGTTTTGCATGCGCCGGCGATTTGTACACTTTGTTTTGTTTTGAGCTCCGAATTGCCTCCAGTATTCAGCAAACATACTTTACAAACTGCATTATTTCTGTCTTCATACTATAAATTTCAAGACAAGGTACGGAATAACATCCAAGCGAGCATTAGATAGAAATCGCTAAATTCATTTCAGAATTAATCGACATTACATAGCAGATGCGAAGGTACAAAGTCTGTACACGGTTTTCACTCATTGATCGAACATAAGTAATTAATCTTTACGGGAATGCGCTCTTTTTGTTTGCTATTCTGTAGGAATACACAATCAGTCTGTGTCATTCAGGCGTTAGTTGCTTGAAGGTTTCACAAAACTGTAACATGGTGACGTGTTTAGTTCGTTGAAAATCTCTCCTAACTTCTCCTAGCTACCGATAAGAAGGGAACCTAGCAACATATTCGCGGCGCGGAACGTCCCTCGCCGAGTTAAAATCTTCGCGCGCTTCAAACGTGGAAGTAGCACAGCATTCATTAGGAAAACAAGATCAAAGTGTACCTGAAGGACTAGCTTGTTAACTGAGCACTCG